GTCATGACAGGAGTCCAGAATGAAGGCTGCACAGTGGAGTGGAATTCGGGGGAGGGATTGTATAATAAATGAAAGAATTTTTCTTCTACTTTTTAAAGAGAAGAGCTAATGGGGAGGATGGGCAGGGAGAAAAGTGCAACAATGAATGAATGGAAACCCTAAGTCTCTGTAAACTTTTATTAAAATTAATTTTAAAAAAGGAAACAAATCAGAGGGGAAAAGATGGCAAATTTGTTCAAATCTTTGCTGCTATGTTGCTTCTGTATGGAAAAAGTTTGCAACAACAAAATGTTTAAATTGATAGAATAGTATTAAAAACTATGATGGGTCACTGCAGTGGAATATTACATGGGTATTAAAAAGTAGAGTATGTAAATTTTTGGATAGTTGTCTATATTATAGGTTTCAAAGCCAGAACACAACATGTCATGTACATACAGGTGACATCTATGCTATAATGTTTGTACATAAGTCAAGAGAAAAAAAAAGTAAATCTGTAAAGTAATAGTAAAGTTTGAGATTTTATTTGATTCCCTGCCTTCTCCAATTCACCACTATGTGCAAATTAGGCCATTACCTAATGGTAATGTAGGTAGGCAGTTACCTACTTGCTTTTTCAGGGTGTACTAATACCAGCAAGTACATTTCCATTGCCTCTGCTGAAGAGAAGATTTAAAGAGGTTGGAATTGGGGGATAAGAATTAGAACTGTTAGAATTTCTAGATAAGCCTACGTAGTAGGAAATGAAGACAACAGTTAAGATACGGGGTCCAAGAATCTAATTCCATAGGATTTTGTCAAGTTTGTACTATCATGATGCTAGATCCCTGGATGATTTCTAAGGTTCCTTAAAGGTCTCAGATCCTGCTTGTCTTTCAGAAGCAAGAAAGAGGAGGTATGTTTGAGCTAATACAGTTTGGGACTTGAGGAAGAAGAGCTGTCTTCTGCCTCCCCATCATCACTGACCTGTTCAGTTGTTCTGATTTCTGTCAACCCCAGTCAGGGACCATTACTGCTACTGAGTTGCTGCTCCTCTCTTAAGAAGGGGCAGAGAGCTCAAAAGCAGGCTGGAGGCAGAGTCAACCATGTGCCTCGTACAAAGCCAGATAAGAAGTAAATATATAAGGGTCAGTGAGGTAGCTAAGGATAGAAGGGCCCATTCCTTGATTCTCTGGCCAAGGAAAGGTGTGCAAGACGCACACTTGGATTATTTGCAGGACTGTTCTTGGGCTCTCGGGAACAATCCCCTGTGGTCATTGTTAGAAACGAATGTGGTAATTACCTTGTTTCCTGGTGGACCCTATTCTCCTGGGCTCCGGATACATCATCTCCTTAGAGTTTCCACTAGAAAGTTAGTGCCTTCAGAGGTTAATTTGGTACTTTTGTCTTCAGGGGAAATCTTCAAAATTTCTTACTTTTTATCTTTTGTCTAGAGAATTAATCTCATTTATTCTAGCACATCTCACCTTCAGAGTTCATGTTCATGGTCAATTAATTTAATGAATTAGCATCATGGTTTTCAGATCAGGGAGGAGATTGCACATCTTTCTTCCAAGGAGCAGCTGGAAGATTCAAACCATATATCTCTGAATAGGCAATACCACTCCTTACCACTAAGCCATCAGAGATCCCCTTTGATATGTAGATGTGTTATTGTTGTTGTTGGTAAGTGCCATCGAGCTGAATATGACTCAAAGCAACCCTAAGAATAACCAATTTAAATGCTGCCCTACCCCATGCCATCCTCTGACATACTCAAGCCCATTGCCACAGTCATGATTTCAGCCCACCTGGTCAAGGATCTTTCTCTCTTTCACCACCTTTCAACTTTCCTAAGTATGATGTCCCTCTTTGAAGAAAAATATGCCCAAACTGTGTAAGATGAAGCTTCATCATCTCTCCCTCCAAGCAGCACTCTAGCTGTATCTTATCCAAGACATACCTGTTCTTTCTTTCGAAGTCCGTGAGATCTTCAGCACAAAGGCATAAGTTCTTCTTCTATCATTCTTAGTCATTGTCCAGCTCTCAGATGCATATCAAGTAACTGAAAGGACTATGGCCTGAATCAGGTGTACCTTCGTCCTCAAACTAACATCATTACTCCTCAATATTTGGAAAGGTCCCTGATTACAGATTTTTCCCAGTGCACCATGTCTCCCAACTGCTGGTACCAAGTACTGGTTGTGGATCCAAGTAAGAAGAAGTTGTTGATAATGTCAATCCTTTCTCAGGATGTAGTCTCTAGATTAAGGGAACTTTGGCAGCTTAGTGGTAAAGGATTATTCTGCCAATACCAAGGTACTCAGTTTGAATCTAGAAGTTGTTGCACCAGAGAAAAATGGGCAGTCTCCTCCTGTATGATTTACAGTCTCTGAAAACTCACTGGAGGGTCAGCTATGAGTTGACTCTGACTCGACAGTACACAATAACAACAGCGGTCTTTAAATCCAGGTTTTCCATGGACTTTGTCAGAAATTATTTTCTGTTTATGTCATTCAGGTCCATCTCTCTTGCCAAGGACTAACATCTATAACTAGCATACTCACAAATATAGAAATATATTTTTCCATTAATTTTTTTAGATGAGAACTTCACAGGTTAAGTAACTTATATCTTTTACCATTTTTAATTGCTTTGTATGCACGTGAAAGTTGGGCCATGAGTAAGGAAAGTAGAAGAAGAATTGATATTCTGAATTTTAGTGTTGAAGAAGAGTACTGAATATTTCACAGACCATAAAAAATAAACAAGTCGCAAACAAATGTCTCTTGGAGCTTGGAGGGCCTGCAACCATGGCACTTAGAGACAAGGATAGTAAAACGTTCTGTCACATGCTTTGAGTCTGTTGTCAGGAGCCACCAGTCCTTAGAAAAAGGACATCATGCTTTGAAAAGGAGAGGATCAGTGAAAGAAAGGAAGACCCACAATGAGATGGATTGACAGTGACTGGAGATGGACTGAGAGAGTGACGAGAAAAATGGGCTTGAGCATGGTGGACATTGTGAGGATGGAACAGGATAGAGCAGTCTATCCATCTGTTCGTAGGATCACTATGAGTCCTAGTAACAACAATAAGAATTTTTCATAGGTTAGCAAGTGTTAACAGATTCAGAACTCTAGATAAGTTCAAGAGTAGTACAGGTAAGTATATATTAGTTTCACAAGGCAAAAGTTGTTGTATTTTCTCCCTTGACCTACCATAAAGACCTAGTTTAGGGCCTGGACCAAAATGGAAACTCAGTAGATATTTGTAAAATATATCAAGTATTGCAAGAATTATGTTGTTGTTATGTACCATCGAGTCACCTGTGACTTGCAGCAACTGTATATACAACTACTCTGAACCCTGCTCTGTCCTGAGCCAACTTTATTGTCTCTAACACACCTACCCCCATTATTCCAGTCACTGAGTCAATCCATCTCATCAAGGGTCTTCCTCTCTTGTGTTGTCCCTCCACCCTTCTAAACATAATGTCCTTCTCCAAGGACTGGTCCCTTCTTGCAACATGGCCAAAGTATGTCAGGCAGAGCTTCAGAATGCTTGCCTCCAAAGAGCAGCCTGGTTTCACCCTCTTGAGCATGAACCTGTTTGTTCTCCTGGCAGTCCTTGGTATATTCAATACTCTTCCCCAGCACCACAGCTCAAAGGCATCAATTCTCCTTCTATCATCCCTCATGATCTTCCAGCTTTCTAATGCATAGCAAGTAGTTGCAAAGACCATGGCCTGGATCAGGCACACCTTAGTTTCTAGAATGACATTGTTGCTCTTCAGTACTCTGGAGAGGTCCCTGACAGTAGACTTTCCCAATGCAATTCATCTTTTAATTTCCTGGCTGCTGATACCAAGAGTGTTGTTTGTGTAGCCAACCAAGCTGAAGCTGTTAATAATCTTAATCTCTTCACCATCTATCATGATGCTGCCAGTCAGCCCAGTGGTGAGAATCTTTGTTTTCTTGATGTTGAGCTTCAATCTATATTGAAGGCTGCAGTCCTTGACCTTCTGAAGCAAATGCTTCAGGTTCTTCTCAGTTTCAGGAAACAAAGTTGTTTCAGCTGCATATCACTGGTTGTTGATGCATCTTCCTCCAATCCAGATGCCTCATTCTTCCTCATAGAGTCCAGCCTCCCGAATGATCTATTCCGCATATAGATTTGAAAGGTATGGGGATATTATTTTCTTCTTTGCTAAATTTTACACACTGTGATTCAAATGTGTGAATATAGCTTTTATATTATCCATCTTTACAGACTACAACTATGCTTTATTTCCCATGCTTTTTCTACTAAGCAGCACATTCCAATTTCATTAATACTCTCAGGTGCCATGTTTTATATATGTTTTTACTGGCGGAGGTAATAGTAAGAAAGGACCCTTTATCTCAATCTTTTAAAAGACCACCAAAGGAATGTCATATTTTAAAGATATTTTAGACATTTTTATCTGTCTAAATGCTCACTGAAATATGCTAAATGGTGCTTGAATGACCATGCCAAAGTAGAATAATAGAACTTTTATTAATTGCTAAGAACATAATATTCTAAAAACATGCACTGCTGGAATTTTTCCATTACTCATTCCCATCAAGTTGGAACCCACTCAGAGCTGACCCTCCACTGGGTTTCCAAGGCTGTAAATCACATGAGAGGAGATTACCCAGGTTCTCCTGAGGACCCACTGATGGATTTGAACCACCAGAGATACTCAGTCTTTGGTTTAGCAGAGCAGTACCCTATTGAATATGCCACCAGAGGTCCCTAGACTTTTGCCATAATCGCATCATAATCTAACACTATTGATTTGACTCTGACTCAAAGAGACACTATAGAACAGAGTAGAACTGCCCGGTAGGATTTCCAAGGAAGTTAATCCAAACAGCCTCATCTTGCTCTTAGTGTGACTATTGTTATTGTTGTTATTGTTGATTGCTGTAGAGTAGAGCATGACTCAGAGTAACCCTATGAACAAAAGGCCTGAAGCCTTTTTTATAACTATCGTCATTTACCAAAGTTCATAGAGCTTCTGGAGGCATGTTGTTTAGGAAGTGAATGCCACTCCTGCTTCCAACCCGGTGTGACTGGTGGGTTCCAGTTGCTTACATTTGGCCAGCAGCTGAGTACATTAACTACAAGGCTGTAGTGTTCAATTATTCTACTGAAATAGTGTAAAAAAATTATCAGGTATGTGGACCTTGTGAGACTATTTCCAGTGGTCAGGAATCTTAGAGATTTTATCAACTTAATGGTATTAACCCTTTCCACTCTTTATTCAGAGGAACTAGAGTTACAGTCATTGGATGACGATACCTCTCCTCAATACTTTTTTGAGTGCCTTAGCAACATCCTTATTCCGGAGAGAATAAATTAAAGGATTTAGAGTGGGAGTAATTACACTATAGAACACAGAGCCAACTTTGTCTTGCAATGGAGTACGCTGGGCACTGGGTCTCATATATGAGAATATAGAGGCCCCATACCAGAGGAAAACCACAGTGAGGTGAGAGCTACAAGTGGCAAAGGCATTTCTTTTGCTCCCAGCTGAGCGCATCTGAATGACACTATAGAGGATGAAGGCATAGGATGTAGAAACCAGGAGGATGGGAAAGAGGAGAACTATGATGGTGCTGATATACACTGTGTTTTCATAAAAAGTGATGTCTCCACACACCAACTTGACAACAGCTGGAAATTCACAGTAAAAGTGGTGGATTTTCCGAGACCCACAAAAAGGGAAGTGCATCAAAATCGCTGTGTGAATTAGGGAGTTCATGGATCCCCCAAACCAGGACATGACAGCCATCATCATTGCCAACTGTCTGTTCATGAGGACAGTATAACGCAGTGGATGACAGATGGCAACATAACGGTCATAGGACATGAGAGCCAGGAGAAGACATTCAGAACTACCCGCAGACAAATAGAGGAAGTGCTGGATCGCACAGCTCACAAAGGAGATGGACTTCTTCCCAGATAGGTAGTTGGTCGCCATCTTGGGGATGGTAACAGAGACGTGCATCAGATCCATGAGGGACAACTGGCTAAGCAAGAAGTACATCGGGGTGTGAAGCCGAGAATCAGCACAGATGAGGAGAAGGATGAGGGTGTTGGCACTCACTGCAATGAAGAAAACCATCATGGTCAAGGAGAAAAGGAAAAGGTGGGTAAGGGAGTCATCAAAGAGCCCTTCAAGAATGAAGTCTTCCAGAGAGGTGTGATTCCCCTGCCACATAGCTCCTTCCTCAGTTCCTAGAGAGATAGGAAGTGGACACAGACTGTGATATCAGAAATACGGAGCCTCATCCTACCTGTCAATAGTAATTTTTGATCTAAGAAATAATTAGTGCAATATTTTTCACTACCTGTATTTATTTAGTAGCTTGGATTATTAAAACAACCTTAAGAAGGAGAGGTAACATAAAATCAATCTTCTGAAATATGATTAATCTTAAATTCCAGAATGTCTAGAGTTTATTAAATGCTGAACTTTAAAACTATAATTGTGTCTTCTCTTAGCTCATTGTATCTGACAGGATTTTAACAGGATAGATAAGCTACTAAGAGATTTTATATATACATATATACACATATATATGTGTGTGTATAATGGGTTTTGTTGCAAGAACTTAATCTTCCACAGTTGTGGAAGTGGGTTAGCAGTCTTTATAAAGCTATTGCCTTTTTGTATAATGCCAAAATTTCAAAGAGTCCAGAGAGCAGAGGAATATAAAGTGGGGCACTTCATAAACAGGTTCAAATCTTCAATCAAAACTCAAACTCAAACCAGTTCCTTTTGCTCCTGAATTGGTGGTGTGAATATCTTGTAGTAGCTCAGATCTTTCTACTAGAGATAAACTCACACACTTGAACCAAAAGTCAAAGAAGCTACAAGAGAATACACAGGAAGGCAACACCATGTTGCTTTAATCAAAGAGATAAGTCAGCAAATCACAACCATGTGTGAAAACTATAAGAAAGTTCATTTCTGTTCTCTTTATCTGTCAAAATCCTACCTGTAGCAATGATTTTTGAAAATCACTACATAATTTGGGAGTTGATGGAGAGCATTATGCTAAGTGAACTAACTCAGTCCCATAAGGACAAATACTATATAAGACCATTATTGTAGAAATAGAAAGATAACTAGTAAAATGTATATGAGAATCCAAGAGGGGTGGAGTGAGGGAGCAGAGGAGTGAGGGTGGGCAAGGGTGGGAATTAATCATAGGGTTGCACAATTTCATAGATAAAGGGAGGGTTGGGCAAAGGAAATGGGAAAAATCCAGTGTGAAAAACAATGTATGTGAACTTTCTAAGTAAACAAATATAAAATAAAAAGTCATCCCGATGACCCATCTTACCAGAAAGATATGCCATGTCATAAAATTCTGAGAAATGTTTTTGCTCCTAATAGAGTTGTCACATATTACAAAGCCACAATAGTCAACTTGGCACCTATCCATATCTCTGTAAGTTATGCTTAGTCTCCAAGTAAAGATATTTTTTAAGTAATTTTTTTCCTAAAATGATACAGGCATACAATCAATAAATTCCCAGAAAAAAGATAGGCATTTTTTTTCTTCACCTTATTTGGCTCATAATCCTTTCTATATGCTGTATTTTTGAAAATTGGTTTATATAGAATATACATGCATAAAGCAAAAAGTACCCATTGCTATTATATACAAACTTGCTAATACTGTTCATGTACTAACTTTTCGGCTAGCCCCCAAACATTTCTTTTATCCTTGCCAGTTCTTCTCTTTTCTTAGTTACTTTTACCATTATCCAACTGTCTTCAGCACAAAGAAGCTATAGTATCAGGAATGGAGGCTATGTATGGACCCCACTCAGCAATATGGACTTCTACTCACCCAGGCAATTTGGTCAGTACCCAATCTGCCACAGCACTGAGTCTCCAACTAGGATTATGGCACTATTCTCCCATGAGGATCAGTCACTTATCTACTGTCTGATTGATTACATTGTACCATTTCAATTATGGTAGGAACAGTGCCTGGGTTTTGTTTGTTTGTTTACTTCTTTATTTTAAAAACAGAAATTTATTCTCTTAAAGTTTAGGAGGATAGATGTCCACATTCAGACTGCGGGGTCTACAAGAAGGCTTTCATTCTTTGTTGGTTCTGGAGAAAGATCCTTGTTTTCTTCACCATCTGTGGGTTTGACATTCCCTGGAGATCTTTATATATCTTGGCCTTCTGTTATATGAAGGAGCTTCATAGCAAGAGATTTGGATCTTTTCCTGGTTATGTTCCACTTCTGTTCTTCTTTTTTTAGTGATACTGAAGTTCTCTTTTTCTTCTTGGTTTTCTCCTGTGAGATGAAAGATGTCATTATAGACCATAACCTAGGGAAACTCCCCTTACGTTAGATTAGGATCCTGATGGAATTAACAGTACTGTGTTAAAAAAAAGTGCTGTGTTCCATCCTAAATCCCCTTATCACTGCTTAGCTTATCAGCTTATGGGAGATCATTATAGAACTACCACATTATAACAATACATGTATTTTGAGGGGGAACAATTAGATCTACAACATCCTTTTGTACCTTCAAAATTCATATCCTTGTCACATGTAAAACACTCTATCATATCAACTTGAAATCTTAAATCAATTCCAACTCTGAATTCCATTCTTGGACAACATTCCTCATTATCAGAAAATCTCCAATGCAACTGTTTCCAAAACACACTAGTGGAATAGGCACAAAGTAGGCATTTCCACTACAAATGGGAGATTTGGAGAGAGATATGAGGAAACAGGAAACAAGCAAGTCAAATACTCAGCAAAACTGTATTTGCTCACAAGGCTTGAAGACAATCCTCTGTTCCCTGATACTATCTAGGAATAGTCCTGTTCTGAAGATTCTGGGTGTTAGTCATGTGCCCTAGATTCTGAGTGCAGGCCTCTCAGCCTAACTTCTGCTCCACCTTCCAGAGCAACTCTGCTCCTTCAGCTTTGTGTGGCTCCATTCTCCTAGAAAACCTGGAGAGGGTGTGGAGAGGTTAAAACTCTCATACACTGTTGGTGGGATTGTAAAGAGGTACAACTATTGTGAAAAAAGGTATTGTGCTTCCTTAAAAAGTTAAAACTAGAAATATCCTACGATCTAGCAATCACATGACCAAGTATATGTCCTAGATAAATAAAAGCCATGAAAGTAATAGATAAATGCACACCCATGTTCATTGCCGCATATGTTACAATACCAGAAAGATGGAAACAACCAAAATATCCCTCATTGGATAAATTTAACATGGTACATACATAAATGGTATACTACACACACTTAAAGAATAATTAAGAATCCTTCTAACATAGATCAGTCCAGAAGCTACTGTGCTAAGTGGAATATGTCAATCATAAAAGAGAATTATTGTATGAAAACTCTATTATAAAATGTCCATAAATGTTTACACATAGAAGTAAATATTCTCAGGGAGCTCTAGTGGCCTAGTGGCAACAAATAGTGCAACAAGCTGCACTGCAATTCCAGAGGTACATGGTTCAAATCCACCAGATGCTCTGCTGGAGAAGGAAGGGCAATCTCCTCCTGTACTAGTCAGATCTGATTTGACGGTACACACACAAAAAATAATAAAATAATGTGTCTGAGATTAGTAAAACTAGTTTACTGCTAATAAAAGATGTAAAACTGATTGACTGCTAATATTAGTACTCTCTGTTTGTAGACACCACCTAGGAATTTAATTATTGGAAGTTGAAATGGTGAGTGAAATATCCAAGAAGGCATGAGTAACTTGGCAAAGGAAATACAGCACAAGGGAGATTTGGGTTTATGCAGTATTCTGTATACACTAAAACATTCAACAGTGCTCAGTATATTAAGTCAGATACAGCCTTTTTCTAATTTGAAATTGAATGCCTGTATGATGATAAGTGAAAACTGACTCAACATGAAGGTCTTATTATTAGCTCTACCTGATGTCAAAAAAAGAAAAAAAAATAATAAAATAAAGTGAAAGAAAGAAATAGTCTTTGATATTTGCCAGGAGTGTGTATGGAGGAAAGGTAAATAAACAGCTATCTAGAAAGTAGCCAAGTATTAACTTAGATGAACAGAAAAACAGTGTACAGTAAGGGTAGGGCAGCACACAATGTGAGTAATGCTCAAAGACACTAGGAGCTGGACAGAGGTGACAACAAAGGTAAATACTATTGGATACTTAATGCGACAATAATGACAATAACAAACAATATCTGTGAGTATATCATCGGCATTTGAGAATACACATGGGAATATACCAATGGGAATATATGTGTTTTATAGAGTCTATTTCTCCATACAGTTGCTGTAAATATATCCAAGAATATTGTCGTGATACAGGGCACAAAGTTAGGAAAATATTTTGAGGGAATGAGTCACTCAGCTTGGGAGACATCAGGTTCAGTTGGTACAATATAGTTCACAAAAATGATGTATACACTCCACCCTACTTTGTGGAGAAGCTACCGGGATTTAAAAGTTTGCAAGTGACCATCTGTATGTAACTACTGATCTTCCCTCATACTGATCAACAAGGAGTGAAGAAAAGCAGAAGCTGAAGGAAATAATTAGCCCAAAAAGCTACTAGTGGACCAGAGAAATAATGTCTCTGCTGCCCGGAGACCAGAAACAAGACGGGTACCGACTGCTATGATCTGACTCAGAACAGGAAATACAGAACAGAGAGGGAGGGGAAATGTGGAATAAAAATTAAAAACATAAAAAATGCTAGCCTGACACACTGTAGCCCCTAGTCACCCTTTGGGCCAGTAACTGAACCCACATTCAGCGATCACTTTTCAGCCAAATAATAGACAAGCTTATAAAGAGGATGATAATAGAGAAGAATATACTTTGTAATACAATCAACCACACAAGAAAAAAACAGTGGCATTTGCTCTTCCACCCCCACTCCCACCCTACCCTGAAAGGGCCCAGAGGACAGAAAGAGACAGGAAAGAATGAAAGAGGAAATCCAGGGAACAATGGTGTTATGTTGAAGAAATGGCAACCGGTTTCACAAAACAAAATGTGTACCAGCTGTTGAATGGAAAATTAATTTGCTCTGTAAATCTTTACTCAAACAATAAACTGTTAAATCTACCAGGAAAACAGTTCCACCCAGTAACACAGGATCCCATCATATTAAAATCTGAGACTGACAACCTGGGTTCATCAGCAAATTGCTCTGGCTACGCTGATTC